TTGAGACTGGACTCACCCACGGTCAAAAAAGCAGTTTTTACAGGCGAACCGCTCATCTGCCTCTGAGAAGTTCATCGGTACCTTCGGGAGTGTGGCCGACGGCCTTGCATACGGAATCTACCAAGCAAGAGACAATATGACTAGTATGAGCACAGACATCAGTTACTGAACTCACCTCTCGCGAGGATCCGCCACTACACAGCACCAGAGCTTGCTTGCAATCCATGCTGTCGCAATCCTTCACAGCAGGGCGTTCAAATTCACGATGATACGACCACATATATAGATTGCTGATGAGTAGAAACAAAATAATAACTGCGATCGCAACTACACCGCAACATACAGCGCAGACGAGTCAGGTTCCCTTTCGGAAACAACACAACATCTCCAAGAGTTAACACAAATGAATGATGAGAAAGGGGTAGAGCGTCTGGACCCATTATTGGGGGCCGGGCAACCCATCTGGAAGCAGTCCATAAGCGAACTAACGGACTTAGCCATCCAAAGTGATTAGTAGTCAATACCAAAACATTCACATTCCACAAGTAGTGGCCGAGTGTACTGGGCATCTCGGGATGAATCGCGCATCAGAAAATCTAATCGAAGCGCGTACGCTTACTAGAGCTGACCTCAGCCTCCCACTCGCTCCACCTCTTCCTAAGCAGAAAAGGGTCATAGATTACAACAAAGACTACGGGGCTGTTTACTTCTTCAAGTGTCCTCGAGACGCGACATGCTCCTGTACGCGGCTGAGACAATCTAGCTTGGCTCCACACATATCACATCGGAAGCAGCAATTGGCTATACTCGAAGAGTTATCCACTGAGGAGATCAATACGATGGCGGGGACGCTCAACCAGATTCCTCGCATACTCTCACATCTCGGCGATGCCGCAGCGGTGCTCCCCAAGAGCACAGCAGTGCTGTGTTCTTGACAGCACGCTGTAACACCACGCAGACACAAAGGTCCAGGAACAGTGTCCAACCCTAGGGCGAGGTTTCAGCAGGTCTTACTCGGGATTATCCCTTCCTCATCGATCAGCCTCTTAGGGTCCGGCATGTGCTTGAGAAGGTAAGTCGTGACAGCTCTCCACTGGGGATCACTACCAACAGCAAAACTCGAGTAGTGTCCGACTCACACGGCCTTCACACGTGCGACAGCATACCTTGAGACATTGCCTCCTGTAAATATGGCTCTTGCGTCCAGCCACCACGCGTAGTGTTGAGAGTAACCGAAATGGTTCGACGAATTCACATGCTTCGCTGCCTAATGTGAACGAGACGTAGCCCTCTCGCCCCGACTGCCACTGTACTTACATCATAGTAGCTCTGCAAAGGCATATCGCAAATCTTACAGAGCAAAGTCTGTGCCGCTGTTTCGAGTACACCAAGCTCATTCAAGTCCTTGGAGTACCTGAGAGACAATCCACAACAGCGAAAGCCCTCAAGCTAGGTAAGCCTCACTTCTCTTTGATATACGCCTCCATATTCTCCCACACCTTGTGTCCAGCTGCCTTCTGATGGCGCTTTGTGGTCTCATGGAAAGCGATCTCCCCTGGACTCCACAGATCGATACCACAAAGGGTGCAGATCCAGCTGTCATCCCTATTAAATTCAGATCGAGATGCAAAGTGTCGGACAGTTTAGTAGCAACTCCCCTACCGATTGGTCTGAATACAATCCTTACAAGCGAACCTCTGGTCCGTTTCATCCCAATCCCTCGGAACCTTCGGCAGCGGGCACTCAGGATCATCATAGTCGCACTGAAATCCCAGCAAGTGGATTCATACAAAGATGACGAGGAGCTTGATGCTTTGACCAAGTGGCTATAGGGTTGTTACGCTTCCGTTTCCCTCATCTCTCATACGACCAACGTACCCTATCTCCAAGTTCTCTACCCTGGTGGGCTGCTGCACGCTTCAGCACGACAGCGGTATTTACTGAGCGGCTAGTCTGGCGGCCTCGTGACTCTACACGCAGACCGATTCTCGCGGGATTAGGAGGAGAGCTGGGTTTGGCGGGCCTCAGGATCGCGTTAGCCGACGTGGCTGGTTTCTGAAAATGGATAAGATCAATCACGTCAAGAAAGTAGTAACAACACAATCGTCCTGGACTGAGGTCCTCACATTCTCCGTAAGGTATACAGTATTTTAGAATCAGAAACTAACCTTTTACCCTACTAAACTGAGTACCAGGTAACGCCACTTCCCCAAGGGGCTCACCCTGCGTCGTTCACACTTGTGATCGCTCCACAACCCAACACTGCCAAGATTGGGTGCGGACCTAATCGGGTATCCAGGGGAGGTGGGAACCCTTGGTGAGCCGATGTCCGAAGGACAATACGTCGAGGGTGTACTGGCATGGTCGAAGTCCTGAGGAGATAAGATATGGATGATACTTCATAAAAGGGTAAACCGATGATTCGAGGCTCGAAATCAACAAGCAGTAGTGGGGGCTTCACAACAGTTATCAACAAGCAAACCATTACAAATGCACAGTAGAGAGAGTTCCATGGTAGAAGTGATGCTAGAGTTACTCCAGTATAGTAACTAGTGATAGCTACCACAAGCCGACGAGACTCACCACCACTGCGGCTGACGAAGTGCTTCCATCGGAAGCTTGCTGGCTCGTACTGTTGTAGCTGCTTGTTTCCGTGCGTCCCGATATGGAGCCTTTATACTGGTGATTCTGCCGCGCAGGGGGCTCACCGATTCTCCCAAGCCTAGGCGTGCCCCACCTCCGTACAGGAATACGAAGGGGCGTCGGCTCAATCTACAAAAATGGGACCGATGATAGTAACATCGAACCTATCCCTCCAAAATACATACAAGACGCCCTCTAAAAATTCAGATGAGACCAGAAGCAGATGCGGTCTGTACCCTGCGGTATACGATAGGATCTCACATAATCCTGGCACGCCTCTCCATCGTCCAGCCCTTCATCAGAACTGCACAGGTCCACCTATAATCCGGAACAAGCCTTAGTACAACACTTCATCGATAACCACTACCAAGCTGAGCTGATCCTCATCCGGCTGCCGGTAATCCACCTCATCATCCACCATCTCGCTCTTCACAATAAGCTCCGATCTAAGGATAGCATAAATACCAAGTGCCGAAGCAACACTGCTTACTTCCTCGAAGGTGGTGCTGGAGAAGCACTCACTGCTCTTGTCCGATTTCTGAACACATATGGACATTTCTCTAACCTTTCCTGGGAGTGCGTCCCAAATCTCCCCAGGGAATGAAATCCCGAGTTTTACCCATTGCCATGGCAATCGCTGGTTTCCCAATGGACCTTAACATGGCTAAGCTTCGCGAAAGACAGCAAACATTGTAGACAGAAAAAATACCCCAACGGACCTGCGAACAACTTGGAAATATCACAGATCCTGATTCGGAACACTATGATATCGCGATCAAAGGGTCTCGCTTATGCATCGCGGACGCTACGAGTCGATGCTCGGAATTGCTCTGACCATCACCAAACGATCACGAGAATACACGTGGAGAAAGGCGACACCACACAACGGGACTGTAGGCTGATTTGCTGCAGTCCCCGACGCAACTGCGACTCAATTTGGAAAGTATGGCATATATCACACAGTGCTCATTCTGAGACAGGCATACAGTTCCCAGTACTCTACGGGATACTGCACAGACCGTGTGGCTGAACTGCTGATTCAGGAATCCTGGCGACGTAGGATCGCCTCAGCGTAACAATTAAATGATCGACTCATTTCTAACGTTTCCAACAAGCTGCGACGCATCAATCATAAGCATAAAACCCAATAGAGCGAGCGCAGCTATTTCACCCACACTACATAGATTTCCGTTTCCATCATTCAGCGTGCTTTGATTTTCCGACGAGCACAAAACGGTACACTCAGCGGCCATCCTATCCTGGTCGTCTTGATTCAGCTCGATTTGCCCTGCATAAAGAACCCTATGATCGGGAGTACCATCATACCATCATTTCTACTGTCAGACCATTTCCCCCAACCCTTCCAATCTGGTGGCTCTAACATTCCTGCTCTGCTGCGGAGCATATTAGGAACAACTACGTTACAATAGTACCCCCACAAGGTCTACTGAAAGACGTCACAGGAGAATTAATGCCACGATATAAGACAAAAGACACGGACACAAGAACACAGATTCATAACAGCGCTGGGGCGCAACGAGAGGAAGTTGCGCACGTGCTACTATGGACTATGATTTTGTAAGTAGACAAGTTGCGTTTCACTTAATTTCGAGACTACGACAGAACGAGGATTTGGTAATTGTCGTCGTGTTCGAGCTCAATACACGCATTCAACGCGAAGGCACACTCTACAGAGAAACCATCAAATACTCGTGTTATGAAAAAAAGGAGTCATGATACTTGCACAAGACTAGTGGTGGAACAACCTCAAGTTGGAGAAAGCCATAGTCATCGAGTGCCTGGCACAAAGCTCAATAGAAAGCCCCATTTAGAACCACCAGATTGTCATGGGACGCACTCCTCCCTACTGATCACAAGCTTCGATGACCTCAGTATCGGCAACTGAGCCACCAGGTTGCATCACGCTGGTCACTCCATAACGACTGCAAACATCGATCGAGTCCCTGACTCATACAACTGTGGTCAAAAGGCTGGAGAGCCCCAGAAGGGTCCATACCGGAATAGAAAGAATGCATCACTGGACACAGCAACCCCTGTGAGTGTCCTCATAAATCTAGCCTTCTCATCATCGGTTAAAGGCTCTGGTACCTGAGTCAGGTAACCTGACTCCAACTTATTGCATCCAATCCAATTTCTCACTGAGACACGAGTTGCAACAACCGGAACGAAGGCTTTATGTGGAGAGGCGAAGCAGGAAACTCACATCAGCAGATTCGAAGTTGTCAGTCTTCCAGTTAGTGTACTCCAATCCGCTCATATCTCCCTCAATATACCTGCAAGTCATTGGTCGTGATATCGTTCGTAATAGCTGGGAATGTTCTCACCTCACACGAGCACTGATACGACTCTGCTTCTTCACGCTGCTCTCGGATATCATACCAAGAGCCTTCGGGTGCCACCAGTTTTGGACCTAGTTATGCTCGCCAAACTATATGATTTGAACAAACTCAACGCCGTCCAGAACACCTTTCTAGCCTCTAATTTGACACAGTCGACACGACTCTGCTGGCCCGCTCCGATACCGACCATCATGCCGTCCTTGCAGAAACCGACACATAGGCCTCTGGTAACCAGAGTATGGTTCGAATCCTGGTGCACTGATACCATCCGATATGTCAGACTTCAGCAGATTTGCGGGCGATACATCAACGCATCCTGAGGTGACAATGGAGTTTTACCCGCTCAACGTGAAGTGGCGGAATACTCTGTGGAAAGCCCGATATTCGCGCTATGCATTAGTCGTGAAGTATTTTTTCCACTAGTATTCTCATATCACGGTTGGAACTCCAAAGATATGGTACGAAGCTTATCATTGGACTTCCGGAGTATGATATTGAGCAACCAACCACCGGACGCGCAAGCGCATCCCGTTTGCCTACTTGAAACAGCGACAAAATCGCCGAAACTGCACATCGGGTCCCCATTCCGAGAGCGGATATACGCCAGGGCCACAGGAGACAAGTTATCACATGCTGACGGAGCCACCTCATAGATGCAAGCCGCATTATCTGGAAAGCAACGGATGGACTCTCCTTGCGCTGATGAGGACTGCCCTCGATTGAAGAGCCCCGTTATCATGAGGACCCACCTCGCAATTCGGTGCTGGCCACTGCAGCTCCAGCAGGGCCCACGTGCTTGAAACTGGCTGCTGCCGGCAGCCTGATGCGGTGATATGAACCGACACAGTGCGACAAAGTACAGTATACCGCATAAACAGATACGATCGGTACATACCCAGTAGCCTTGTCCATTTCTCTGACCAGCAGCCATGAGTTAATTGCGTCGAGAAGGTTAATATACCCCGGAACCCCATTGACAACCTGGTATTAGAATGGGGTGACGGATTGCAGCTATCAAATCATCATCGTCTCATGATGACGCCGATGCCAATCAAGAGCTGACCTTGAAAGGCATCTCCAAACCATCGCCGACTACACTACACATAGCCGCTGGCTGATGGTGAGGATTGCACTCGTACTTCAACGATAAAACCACGTCGAAAGTCTGAATGCAACTGGAATTGTGAATCGAGTATTAATCATAACCGCCAACGAGCTGCACTTCACAACTCTCGACCTCAGCCATGCAATCGTCGATCAACAATTGATGAAACACCCTCAGAACGAGGGAGTGGGGCTTACCTGGGTCACAGACTCCCCGAGAGTTTCTGTTGAATCCCCGAGGGAGGCCATGTAGGAAGCTATCTTGTTGTCGTATCTACAGCGTGATTGACGAGTCTCATCTGGTCTAATGACTCGTTAAAAGCGAGTACACATGGGGCGGCCCCGTTCAAACACATGTTCGGTTAGCGGGGAAAGGTGTAGAAAACATCAATATATCAGCAGCTTGGCGCAGTGGATAGCGTGTTGGGCTCATAACCCAAAGGTCCCTTGATCGAAACAAGGAGCTGCTAATTTTCTGCATTTCTCACCTCGCTGTTAACGCGAAGGCTTTGCATACCATGCCCCTGGTAAGCCTGACTCGGGCAATCCTAACATCGTAGAGAAACGCGATCACAGGTGTTACCCGTTGTTAGTCGCCAGCTCTCTGACTAGTTCGTCGTAATCGGAAGGACTGGTGATGACGCAAACGCCATGAGAGTTTTTGGCAACAGCTCGAATCTGTTACACAAGCTTATCGCCAGAATATAGTGAACATTTAGTGCTTGTGTGGCTCTCCCCAGATAGCTCACCATACACGGACCTCTGATGTCGATATTCTCGATGCAAGCCGATAAGCTCGACCCAAGGGACGCAACTGCGGTCTCGAAAGGATACCTCAACAAGCAATACTTAAACAAAGGTTCTGTACATGCTATCACACGGCTGGATCCTGAACATACAAATTAACAACGACTAGATCAATTTTCTCAATCCCGAGCTCGAGTAGCTGCTTTTCATGGGAAGCGTTACCTCTCACTACCAACAATGCCCCATGCACCTAAAAGTACACTCTTGAAATCGGGCTTCGAGGTCGCTGAAGAATGAGGTCCTCCAGCAATCGGGCGCACGCTGAGACAGCTGGGCTTACCTTAGGATTTACGTAAGGCAAGGTTTTGACTCGCCATCCAGGATTTCGGGACTTCCGGTATAATCGCTAACATCCATTACGGAGTAGCCCAGTTCCTCCATCTTCTTAGCGGTTCCTCCCGTGGAGAGTATCTAGAGAACGCTATTGGGATGAATCCAGAGAGAGAACGCCGGATTCACCTTGACACCGTAGCTCGCCAAGCATTTCCCCAAGACGTCTAAGCCTGCCTTGTCACAGACAGACACTAGTGCAGTCTTCACCACTATCAGCCTGGCCTCATCAGTGCCACTCAGAGCCCCCAAAACTATATTTTCTGCACCAGTCATTTCTACAAGGATGCAATACCAAGTTACTACCACAACGAAGACTACATGATACATGGTCAAAGTGTCACGGCAGAACATGCCTAGCGGTAAGACAGGTTGAATCAGCCGACGTGAGAATTTCCTGATCTTATGTGTTATCAACAAGATAGAGGCGAGTCTATCCTCAATGCGCGATACAAGAGACCACATCGTGCATTTGTCGATGGTTGGAACGACAATCGAAAGTCGACTTCCACGGGGACTGCGATTTGAATACACTAGGTATGTTCAGAAGCCAAAACCACGACAATGGTCTGAGACCGGTCGTAGCTAGGCTGCAATCCCACCATTGAAACGACAACTCGAGATACTCGGATCTATGGACAAAAAATTACAGCTATGATGCTAGTACGCTAAATATAGGCGTTAACCAAGGTAGAGGGGATCAATGAGCGATACTGATTCTGCCAGCGTTATGTGAGTGGCAAGGCAATGAGCCATATAATGAAAAAATTGAGGTCTAGATAACAATAGTGAAGGGACGCTCGAAAAAGAAATATACTCAGCTAAGTAGCGAGCACACCTCCAAGCAGAAACATCATCTAATCATCATTCAAAAAACCCCACATCTTCGGGTACAGGTGTGGGAGCACTCTAATGACATTTCTGAAAACTAAGTCGAAAAAATTGTAAGACGTCACCAGCAGATGCATAGTGCGGCGGACAACATAACTGTAGACCTAGGAAAGAACGCTTAGCAAAATTTTCAAAAAGCGATATCGACTGATCCGTGATGATGTGCGCCTGAGCACATCTGATCAAAAGAGTTCACGACAAATAAAACTCGACCAGCATCATTGACAACAACAGACCGTGGGCACTCCCCCTCCTCGACTCTATTCCAACAGAACTTGGGGTAAAAAATAGCCTTGCCCATTAGCGACCCGAAATAGACGCTGGAAAGTGATAGTAGATTTATACCTTTCAGCGACGTCGTTGCTGAGGATGTAGACCAAACCAAATAATTGCTACTTCTACACTCTGAATCGATCAGCTCTAGAGTAAGTAATTGTTTAACGAGAGAATTCTCGGGATAACGAAGCGCTACTGGCCGCAGAGGAAAGATTGTAAACTGGCTTCGTCTCTCCAGATGTAGTGCGTGGGGGAGACCTAGGAGGTTTGCCGGCTACGACGCCATTGAGAGGGCTCCCAGGAGTACTGCAGCAATAGCTCATGACGGTACTCCCTGATGCTATGCGTGATGACGGGGTGCGCATGGTGAAATCAGCCGCCGAACGCCCCAGGCTATTAATGTAGTTCATCGTTGCTCTAGTTGGCCGCTGACCTCGAAGACGTTGGAGTCTGATCAATGAACGCAGGGTGTCGATGAGCCCCGTGTAGCACATCCCAGTTGAGCCTCAATATTTCAAAAACGGCAACTAATGGACGGGTTTGAGAGCCACCGACAATTCACTGTGATTTGGAGAATCTTCTCCACGGAAGTGTACAGGAACATTGTCAGCTGTCATAAGTGAATGGAGAATATCCCCACCTATAATATGCAAGAATGCATCTCCTAACATCGTTCACGTCCTTCTCGGTAGCCCGATACATACACACTGGGGGCGGTGTCTCGATTTCCACCAGGCATGATCGCCGCGGTAAGGGCGGTGTAGCTCCGGTCGTTGTGTTCGCCTTGCTAACCGATGAGCCGACAGAAGACGCGGATCCGCGAGTACCTTGAGGGCAAAGCAAAGAGCCTCTGTGAAGCCCACACAAACTCTGTTCAAGAGCTCTTATAAGGGCTCTCGAGCGCCTCAATAGAAAGCGTCTACGATCCAAAATATGCACCTACTTGATTCACCACTGCAATTCCTCTGTCCAGATGCACAGTCCTCTCCTTCACAGTTGTGAATGCTCGGTGGTGTAACCACAACAGCAGACATCTCAGCCACGGGCGAATCGACAGAGCTCATAACGTGGAGCAATCCAACTGGGAAATACGGAGTACAACAAGCAAAGGGAGGGGGCCAACGCACACACACGACTTCTCATCGATGAACGCTGTCACAATCCGAATCGAAGGAGTCCTCAATTATTTTCGCTTCTGCTCGGCGAGGTCGTTCGAACCAACTATTCATCCATGATTCACTATGTTTGAATTCTCACAGGGTCTGACTGATGATCCAGCTCCACCATCACTCTCTCAATCTACGCTTAAGATAGACAGTAGAGAGGATACGAAATGAATAGATAACCCTCATTCTCATACACAGGGTAACAAGGGACAGGGTTGGTTACAAATCTGCCTTCAGCATGATTGCAACACTCAATGGTGAAAAATACTCACCACAATCACCAATGGAAACTATCTAGAAAACGAAGACAAGTGTATCCGTTGTGTAACCGGACACCCGCCGGAAAATCATTGAGGACTGGGCAAAACTGATAGCGCAGTTTGATATCCACTCGATTTTTTCGAGAGTCTTTAGGCATAAATCTGTGGGAATATCACAACCAGGTGATTTTCAACAATGATAAAGCTGTATCGATGGACTCTGTAAGAAAATCATGTCGTTAACCCCCATAGAGTGATCGATCAGGCTCTGAGCAACCATATATGCATCGTGCCTCATGTACTTACGTATAGGGAAACATGATGAGCACATTCGAGTGTATTCAATTCACATGAACACAGTACACGACTGATGTCGGCAACTCGTGATTATATAGCTTCCTGGCCGCTTCAAGACAACACTCCGAGATACGACCAGTTCAGATGAAACTATTTCATTATTTATTTCAAACATTTCATCGATGTACTCTCATCGGGCGCATGCCCGTGTAACCCTTCCTCGCCTGCTGTTGAAGTGGCACACTATGGCACAGCTATCGTATCCTCCATGGAATTGAATCTCGAACTCAACAAGGTCACTTCGTCTGTACATGTTTTCGTATTTTACTGACAGACTCCAACGTGAAGGCAATACGAAACTGGACTGCTAATTATCTTGAGGATTCTCCTCTATTACTCGGCCTTGCACATAATACTGCCTTCATTGAGTAGCTAAACACCCTGTTTCACCGCAACCACTGATCGTCCGTATTACGACATTCCTCATCTGCGAATCCTGCTCGCCTGGTGGGCTCTGTCAACACTATCAGCCGTTGATGCCTTTTCTAAGATGTACTCAACGGCAGCGTCCACAGTTCCTCTGACCCTGAAAGCCTGGGCAACTTGCTCGTGAGGCCAGCCAAACTCACGGCAAACCTGTGACAGTGTGACTATAAGTTCGACAACCAGCACCGTCATAATAAGCTCTCACTTGCTCAATCTTCGCCTTGTTATCTCGGTCCGTCAGTCGATTGAGACTCTCTATGCTAATCGGGTCCTCATCCTGAGTGGACATCCTCCCTCACTAGCCTCCATCAGAGATGCTCACATAGAACCGATTGCCGTCACGCGACTCGAGTTTGGACAGAGCAACCGCTGCCGCAAGTTCTGGATCCATCTCTGATGAGTTCGAGTAACTTTCTTCCTGAGAACGATTACAAGTTGAAACAGTTCGCTATCGCGCGTAGTAGGAGTAACGATATAGAAATAGGAACAACTGGAGAGCATAATGATGATTATACGACTATCACAATGAGTGCTACCCTTCTCCCGATTCACAGCGCACTCGTTGGCAAGGTGAGGAATGAGTGACAAGAGCGTCTTCGGCACAGATGAACTTGCTTACCGGTATGGTCTGGCTCTGTATACTGGATCTATCGTACCCAGTGATCATATGGTTGAACTGGAATGCACTATTCTCCAAGGAGTGGCTGAACACACGTCGAATCTTCACATATTCCCTCCAATATCGTCTCTCACTCAGGAACGCTCAGTGGCGTCGCAGGCTGGGTTACTGGCGATGCCCGCGGACGTATGGTCACATGCTCCGTTCGATGGTACGACACCGAATCCTGAAACGTTGACGTAGGGACACTACGAAAAGGAGATCGACTCATGTGCAGTGCAGCAGTATTCTACTAGCTTGTTTCTCGGAGAAGATGATCTACTGGTGATATTTCAACATCGTACGTAGACTAAGTTAGCCTCTCAAGACTACCCGACACGATCACTGATAGCCGGCTGAACCCTAGTGGCACAATCCATTACCGCACACTCAAGATATTTCCCATGATCATCCCAGCATACATACATTGACAGACTTATCAGCGGTGCTTTGCTGTTGATAGGCGCTATGAGCCATCCGTACTCCTGCCTCCCCGCATTCTCCTCGGCGAGAACTAGATGCAGGACTTATCTTATTGTGTTGCTGTATAGGTGTGCTCGATGCACTGAACAAGAAGAAGAAGAAGAAGAAGAAGAAGAAGAAGAAGAAGAAGAAGAAACGGTCCACACAAGCTTTGCCCGAAACGATGAAGAAGCAGTCCTATCAGTTTCCACACAATCACCCAACGTTTGTTACTAGAGTACTGAAGCGTTTGTTATCGGTTTTATCAACGAGATCGTCATAGCCACATGAGTTACCCTCACCTGCTCGACGGAGTATCAGCAACGCCTCCACGAGATACTATATGGCCCGGAACTTGGTTGGAACAAGTGCCACCGTTTGCAGCCAT